GTCAGGCCCTGGCTTCGCTTGTGCTATTTTTGGTCCCATTGCTCTAACTGCTGAAAGAGTTTATAAGGGCTCACTGCCAGCTAAGACACAGTCAGAAAGATGTCAGTACAACATAAAACCGATTTGTTCCTAAGAAGAAATATAAATCTACGAAATTATCCAATTATCCTTATTCACAAAATGTCAATAATGTGCAAAAACACCCAGTAAAAGAAGATGGAGAAGGAAATGCTATTCTGTGAACCATAATTATTACCTCATTCAACCTTGATTCCACTCTGAAAGATATTTATCTTATTTAAGCAACACAAAAAGATAATAAGGGAGAATTCTGGCCCAAAGAATGTCCTTAAAAGGAAGAGGAAGAAAGACTTCATCCAGGAGGGATGCAGAAACTCGAGGAAGGCAGATGTGGAACTAGCAGATCCACAAGCACCTCCCGCCCAATATTAGATTTCCCCAGAGAAATACATAATAAGCATGTTTGCTCAGGCATTTAACATTAAAGAGGCAACAGCAACAAGAACAGGGGTGACCGAAAAGGGGCATGTTTTGTCTGTGACTTGTTCTGTTCTGTAAACAGTAATTATTTGAACAGTTCTAAATGCAATCACTTCCATTAGGAAAACACATCCCTGCTCAAATTGAGGTTTCAGTCTTTATGAATTACAAAAACTGTGTAACTGAACCAATAATGTTGTATAAAAGCAAATTAATGACAGTCACACAACAGAGTTTTAAAATAAAATTAATTTTAATAATGGCCAAAAGAAGGTGAGTATGTGAAGACTGGGGCTGTGGGTTTTCAATATTATAGTAAATACAAAACAAAAATAACTGGTAACAATAAGGCAGTATTCACCACATCATATTAGATTCTTTCTGCAACAAAGGAAATAGGTATTCATGAAGGAGAGTGACCAATTGAAAAAACACAACTAAATTCAAGACCCAGTAATACAGATTTAAGAAACTTTAAATATTTCATTTTGAGTGGAAAACACTTATGAAAGATAGCATTCAAATGTTCAGTTCTGGGATTATAGAACCACCTGCTTAAGATATTAAAGGCTCCTTTAAACACATTTGATGGCTTGATAAGAGCAATTTAATTTAACATTCTGAGCCCTCCACTTATTTCTGAATCCACAGACCAGGTGGAAACAGCTTAACAATGACTTCAACCCAGGCAGCAGTGAGACATTTCATTTCTGTTGCGTTATACCTATCAATTCAGAAATCAGTAAATTAAAAATACAGCACAATACCATACCATTTAAACCTGAATAGGAGTAGTCGTTTGTATTTCCCCTGACTACTGGGATTTTTTATGACAAAATGAAAGAAATCAGAAATTAGTTTGGGAAGAGGTTAAAAATTACTTGTACAAAAATAGCTTACAAAAATTAAGTCCTTTTAAAAATTAAAAGCATTTGGTCAGCTGTGACATGAATTTTCAGGACCTAAATTCAAAAGCACCATTGTAATTAATAGGTGGGGCAAGGTAAGATGGAAGTGACAATGGGTTTTCTGAAAACTTGTGGGAAGCCACCTGACAGATGCAAAAGCAGACAGGCCTGGTACAACTTCTGCAGGCTCAAAAGTAACATAAAATATTCCATCCAACAAGTCAGAGTTAGGAATAAAGCAATACTACCACACTCCCAGAGCATTTTAATCCTCACTAAGATAAACTAGTTGTATTAAAAAAAAAAAATGTCTAACAGGAAAATCTACTTAGATGTCAAAAATTCTAAGTGAAATTTTATAAATTTTAAAAATCACTAATAAATCAAAATAAAATCCACAAACTTGTCCAGACTATCACAAAACCAAAAAGAGTTATGAATTGTATTTTTAAAAACTATTTGCAAAGCACAGGCTTTCCTGTTAGTCTACTTTATTTCAAACACTATAATTTCAACCTAAAAGAACAACTAGCCCTCATTCTCTTTAACATCACTTTATTCGTGGAAATAGATACAAGGAACACACACGGTCTCTCCTTTAGCCTGGATTGTGCTCTGATTAAATCAAGAAACAGCTTAGAGTGTGGGGGGTCAGGAAGAAGCCAGCTAAAATAAACATGCAGCTGGATCACTTCCAAGATGACACTTATTTAAGGCCTATAGTCTCCACGTGAGAATTTGAGGAAATGAATTTTTACAGTAGCATGGAAAGCCAAACAGAATATAAAAGGCCAGTTCATAATAGTCATCCTTTTCTGAATTACAGAAATTATAACAGTGAAATTTTGTTTGTAAAATGCAATGTCCACTTTCTCCTTTTGGATAAAATACCTACAGCCTCGGTGGTGGTTAAATTGCAGCTATAAAGGAAATTGTCCCAAGATAAATGGTTTCCCTCTGAGAGGGTTTCGCTGCTACACTTCACCCCAGGACAATAAATCAAATTAACTGCACCTTGTCCTCTGTCCAATGACATCATCAGTTTGACCATATCTTAAGAGTCCTGTGCAAAACATATGCTACTTAAGGCACGAAATCATATTCCTGCTTTTTGTCCACCTGACCTCAAGCTTCAGTGTTCTGAAACAGTCATTCACCTGAGCAGTCTTGTGGAAGCTACAGATTTTTTTCTCTTGCTGCATTTGGGACCTGCCTACGGGAGGTTAAAGAAGAAAAATGGTAAGAACTGGTTATTTGAAATTGGCTTGTTTTAGCCCATTAAACCTAGATTTTTGTTACAAATTAAACTTAAAATCAAAGTCTCACCAAATCTGTAGCTAGCAACTGACCCTACAGGGCCTTAACATAATTTCAGAGGTTTAACACATCAGTGTTGAACAACCCTTCTGATACTTTCCTCTCCCAGCCTGGGGGTGGGGGGACCACCATGAGAAGCAACACCATGATTTTAAAAACACACGACTATACAAAATAAAATGAGGGGAAACTTCATCAAGGGAAAGACCAAAATTCAAAATTACTGTTTCTTTTACCTAGTAGAAATTACTATACCCTTCACCGACCAACTATCCTAAATCTACATAGAACAAAATCAATTCTGACAATTTTAAGAAGAGGGGGCGGGTGTGCTGGGAGGGTGATTAAGTTCAGAGATCAGGGCGGACACAATGAGTGTTTATTCCTCCATTTTACTCATTTAATAGTGACACAAACACTCAAAGAAATCAGAACCCCATTTCTGTTTTCGGGAGTGCTCCAATTAAAATAAGCAAGTCTGTGACAGTGACCGAAAAATTATTATCAGCCCTATTTTAAATCCCAATAAAGAGACTGAAAAGGGAGCGCAGCCCTGAGTAGTTCTGAAAGTGCTGTAAATTAGGACTTATAAAATACTTAGCTATTCCCCAACTAGAAGAAGGGGGAAAAAAGACTGGTTTCAAAAGTCCTGCAGACCCACCTTGACAAAGCTAGCAAGTGTTTAATTTGGGGGTTGGAGCCAGAGAGCAAGGGGCTCCACCAAAACAAAGTGAATCCCAAAAAGGCTTTATTTAGCCTCTGAAAATAGGTCAGTCCTCCCCCCTCCCCCCCAGTCCCACCCCCTTAGGCCCAATATTACTGCACACTATAAAAGTCTTTTTAAGAGAAAACAAAACAAGACAGAGTTAATGCTCAGCTCGGGGCTGTGGGAAGGCTGGTGAGGCCTCGGGAGGGTCCTCTGTGCCCGCGGAGTAGGGGGTGCGTGAAGACTGGGTGAGGGGAGTCATTTGGGTTATTAGTAAATAAATCAGGCTGCAGAGAGCATGAGGCCTAGGCAACTGCAGGAGGAGCCAGGCCTCGCTCCCCCTTCCTTTCCCGGCACAGCCTGGGTTTGATCTCAGAGCCCTGTGGATTGCCAAGGAAAAAAAAAAAAAAAAAAGAATCATATCGAACCACAAAAGCACATGGGGCGAATGTAAAATATAAACACGGCGTTGGGCTGTGAGTGGCTGTTATTAAAGGTCTGAATTACTAAACATGAGAGGCGGGGAAAGCCAGGCGGCCATTTCAATAATATAAACCTCCCCGAATTAGACATTATTCAAATGAGAGAGGATCCGCGCAGCGGCGAGCGGGGAGGACCCAGCCCCCGGCGGGCAGACGCGGCCGCGGGCCGGCGGGGATCCCGCCTCCCCAAACCCCACGGAGGGGGGGGGGGGGGGGACTGGGATGGTAGCAACTTGTTAGGCCGGGGGTCCCCTAACCGACCGGCCTCACCGCCGCTTTCCGGGGCCCCGGGGGCGCGTGGCCGGACTCCGGGAGGGTCAGGGAGGGGCGCGGGGCCACACCGCGCCGGCGCCTCCCCCGGCCCCTCCGGGACCGCGCCCGCCCGGGACCCGCGGGGCTGCCGGCCGCCGGCGCGAGGACGTGCCCTCCGAGGGGGGCTTCTCGAGGGTCGCCCGAGGGCACGGAGCCGAATCCCGGGCGCGGGACTGCTCGAGGCGGGCCGCCCCCCCTCCCCGGGGAACGAGCGGGCGCAGCGAGGCGCGGGGCCGTGACCCCGGCCAGACCGGGCTCCGAACGGCGGCGGCGCTCCCCGCGGACGCCCCCCGCCGCCCCGCCCCGCCGCGCCGCTCCCGGGGGCACGCGTGCTCGGGTCCGGCCGCCGGGTCCGCCCGGGCACGCCGCCTCCCGGCATTGTGCCGCCGCCGCCCGGCCTCCACGCCCCCCCGCCCGCCCGCCCGCCCGCCGGGCCGCCCGCCGCTATGAATATGTAAAGCGTCTTCATTGTCCTGCTCGGCCCCGGCCCCGCCGCGGACCCGCTCGGGCTCGAGGCGGCGAGGAGGCGGAGGCCGGGCCGGGTCCGGCGGGCCGGGCCGCAGCCCCGGTGCCCCGGGCCCCCCTCCGCCCGGCCGCTGAGAGCCTCTCCCCCTCCGCTGGCGCCCGGCGGGGGCTCGGCGCTCTCCGGCCCCCCAGCGCCCCGCCGTTAATTATAATAATCCTGAGTACTAATAAATTATGCTAAGTCGCGGGGGGGCCGCGGGAGCCCGGCTCGAGTATGAATATGAATATGTAAAATGCCGTAATGATTACCTGCTGCTGCTGCCGCCGCGGCTGAACTCTCATCTTGACTCGCTGCTCCTCCGTCCGCCATTTTGAATATTTTAACCAAAATCGCCGGGTCGATAAGCCCTCCCTCGCTCCGGCTCCCCTCCCCCCGCCCGCCCTCCACGCCGCCCCCTCCTCCCCGCCCCTCCGCGCCTTCCGTCCCCCGGCGCGCGACAGGGGGCGCACGAGGCCGCCCGCGTGGAGGAGCCCCGCCCCTTCGGGCGCTCTGCGCACGCGCCTCCGTGCCGTCGCGGCTCCTCAGCCGCTGAAGCGCCCTCAACCTGCCAGTCACCCCTTTGCTCCACTTTTCCCGTCTGGGCTCTGCACATGCGCGACTCTCTCCACGCGCCTGAAGAACAGTCGACGCATGCGCGACCTCCCGGGCTCCCTCCCGCGCTCCCTCCCGCGCGTACCCAGGGCAATGGGGTACGTGGAGCGCCCAGACTTCGCAAAGCCCTCCCCCTCCTTCTCTCTCGCGCCTCCCCGCCCCCAGCCAGCTATGGCCCGGTTTCCCGGGCCCAGAGCATTCTGAAGGCAGGGAGCCCGCGGCCCGGAGCGTGGAGACGCGTGACTACACGTGGGCGCGCACTTGCAGGCTTTCCGCGGTTGAAACGCCGGCCACCGGGCGGGGCCTCGCCTCCGCTAGGTGACTTCCGGCCCTGCGGGCAGGTAAGGCGGAAATGCCCGCCGCCGGGCCCAGGCACCTGCTGATCCTCGCGCGGGCGACCCGCTCGAAATTTGAATCGGAGGAGTCCCCGCCCTTGGCTCTGCCGGAGCCGCCGTCCGCGGGCCCAGCGGGGGCGCGTCCTGGGTTAACTTAATGAGCCCAGTCCCTTCCGCTCCGCAGCCTGCGACTCCGCGGCCGCCGGGACCCGGGCGCCGGGCGGCGCGCTTTTGCCGCCCGACCTGTCCTCGGGCCCGGGCGGTTCGGACCGAGCGGCGGCCTGTGGCTGTAGACAGACAGGCTTCCTCCCCTTCCCTAGTTAGGAACTTAGGTTAAAACCCAGCAATAAAAGTATGATAGGTGTTTTCCATTGAAAAGAATTTTTTTTGTAACTAGCCATAATGTTCTAAGATTTCTTTAACTTGAATGGTAAATTTCTCTAGACAAGACCCAGATGTAATGTATTACTAATTCTTACTAAACAGCTAAGATTTTTTTCAGTTTTTAAAATTTTGTCATTTAGTTTACATTCAATATTATTTTGTATTAGTTTCAGGTGTACAGCACAGTAGTTAGTCGAGAGTAAAAAGAAAAGTATTTTATGGTCAGCAAAAAGGGTTTTTTTTGTGTTTTCCATTCTGAGGTTTTTTTTTAATTTAAATTATTGTTGAAAGTATTACATTTTTAAAAATTGTGAGAGAGAAATGACTGTAAAGCTTAAATCAGGATAGAACTGCAGATTCTACTCAGAAGAAAAACTCATCTCTCAGAGAATGTCAGCAGTTGTTTTAACTGCTAAAGTTTTAATCATGGGTATGAGTCAGCACCTTGAATTCCTTACACTGTGAAAGTAATCTGGCCACTCAGTGTGTGTGTGTGTATGTATGTGTGTATATATATTATAAACACATATATATATATATTAGAGGCCCCGTGCATGAATTCAGAGATCATCATAATCTGGCCTCTTAAAGCCAGTGAATTTGGGTGGGATTGATTTACTCACAGTAATTAAGCATTAGGGTGTGTGCATAACTGTTTACACCAAGTAATTGGACCACCCTGTAATCTAATTATTTCAAACCACACCGGCCAACACACATATGAGGAAATGCAAAATCTAATCATGTTGCGATTACTCTGGAAATGGCTCTAGATGATATTCACTAGCCTTACTATAGAGGAAGTCACAATCATCAACCTATTTGAAACAAAGTTAAGTGTATGCCTTTGCTCTAAATCTGGAAACATCTCCACTATGGAATAAAACTCAAGTATCCTTACTTAAGTTCCTATCTTCTATTTAATATTTGTTTTGATCTTAGGTTCAAAGGGGACATCTGTAATACTTTCAACAATAAAGATAATTTTTAAAGTATATTGATATTTTTTATTCATTTCAATAAAAGAAGGTTTTCATGGAATGAATTATTGTTTAAGTAAGAATAGCTCTGTGAGGAAAAAATAGTTTGACATAATATGTGTCAGTAATTCATTTTCCTTTTAATGAAAATATTTATTTTTCTAAATGTGTGCCCAGACCCTAGCACAATGCCTAGGCATAGTAGGTATCCATAAATACTTGTTGAATAACATAATAATAGTTATATACGTCTGGAGTATTTTGAAAAAGTGATGGTCATTTAACATATTTATGACAATCTGCATTCTGCCAGAAGCCTGACTAGGTATTAAGGATATGAAAATGGGTAAGGCACTGATTTGACCATAGCAAACTCATGAATCAACTTTTTAAATCCTCACAACTCAGGGTAGGAAATACATTAATTCCAATTTTCTAAAATGGGGAACTTAAGACATAGAGATGTTACAAAACTTGGCTGTATTAGGGTTCTCCCAAGAGGGGGTGGGGGGGGGGAGACAATAGGAGATATATATTTTTTATTATATTTATTAATATGTGAGAAATCCCACAATCTGCAGTCTGAAGGACTGAGAAGGAGAGAGTGGTGTAAGTTCCAGAGTCCAAAAGCCAGGTCTAACTTTATGTTCCTTCTACCACTATTCCACATCCTTTGTGACCATTCCCTAGATTCCTGTCTGTGTGAGTTAGAAAAGGCAAATAGTGCTTTTGGAGGGCAGTGTACCTCCTCATGAGTCCTGCTAGGCAGCTCGGGTCTCATGGTAACTTGGTGGCCCCTGGTTAAGTGTTCAGTCTCTACTGAGGGCCAAGAGCCCTTTCTCGAATGAGGAGTAGTTAATCCTAGAGAGTGAGTGGCAGGGCTTTGCTCTAAAATCCTAAGGATCTGAGCCGCCATTCACCTGCAAGGCTGCCACTGGCTCCTACCCTGTTTCCCCGAAAATAAGACAGTGTCTTATATTAATTTTTTCTCCCAAAGTTGCGCTATGTCTTATTTTCAGGGGATGTCTTATCTTTCCATGCCCTAGGTCTTATTTTCGGAGGATGTCTTATTTTCGGGGAAACACGGTAGCAGCATCACCTTCAGCCACAGACACGTCAAGCATCGCGGGATCTGCTGGATCAGGTGGCCGAGGGTGGAGCGCCAGCACTGGGCCTATTTCAAAGCCTTCTCTTGTTCTGGGCCTCCTGCAACACTAACAGCTTGTTGTGTCACTTGGTAAATGGGTTGGAGGGACACCCAAATAGGAACAAGTTGCCTCCAAATTTGAGGCAGCCCTCCTACCCTTTATAGGAAGTACTGGGAACTCCTCCCCCGTCTTAGAGTTCACCCGGAAGTTTCCCCAAGGAAGACTCTGATCCTGCCTCAGATGCTGCCACGATCTTCCTTGAGCAGGTGGAGAAGGCTTCCATAAAATTAACATCTCTTAACATTCATAAACATGCCAAACCTACTGACTGTAGTTGACTGCTGTGGTTATGCGTTTACTCTGAATATACAATGTAGAATATTTACTTCTCGGAGAATGTACATTGCAATCTTCACAAGTCATTACCAGCAAGCTCAATGTTGTCAGAAAACTATCAGATGGATACAGAGTCGGCAAATTCATGAGACTACTCTTACTACTGTCCCATCCAAGCCCTGGGCCAACTTCCTATGCTGAGCCTATAGTCTTTCTTGCTCAACCCAATTCTTCAGGTTATGGTTGGCATCTCATCAGCATTAGCATGCAAGATGAAATCTATTTGTAATTCCCATACTCTTAAAAGCCAAACTGTCAGAAAGCCATGCACTTGAAATACATTATTTTGTCCCCTTGTAAGATTCTTTCCTAGAATTATGTTTTGGACTTATGTCATCAGCCTACATTAAAATCAAAAGAAGAAAAAGAGAAATGTATCATTTACTGTGAGTTTTGGGGGTGTCTGCTTTCTTTCTGAGGGTTCATTCTTAATATCTGATGTGCAGAGGTTAAGTAATGTGTGTCCCATTCATGTTCAGCTGTGTCTGGCCATACCTGGCAGAGTGACATAGATCAGCAGATGTCTGTCTGCTTGAAAGTCTACAACAGACATGTCAAACTTGTGGCCCTCGAGCCACATGCAGCCCACGACAAATATTTTTGTGGCCCAGCCAATAAAACGGTATATTAGAAACATTTTAATAAAAATGTAACTTAATTTTTACAATATCCTGTTATACATAATTATAGCCAAGTACAATGTTCATTAATGACTGATGACTATAATCATTTTGCATTCATTTCCCTTACATGCCTTACATGCAGGCGCACCATTTCTCTACTAATACTAGCAGCGAATATTTTAGCAGCCAGTTGTCCCATCGTTAGTCGTGTATAGGCAGTCCTTGGGTTAGCCATCTCCCATCCTAAGTGATAAAGAGATAATATGCAAAATAACCCTCATACCATCACAAGATAGCTGTGCCCATAGTAGAGGTGAGGTTCCTGTAACCAGCGATCAGTGGGGAACGCCCTGCCACCTGGCGGGGCTTGACGGGAGACCTCAAGGCGTGCCCTCAAACCCCCGCCCTGGTGCCGGGACAGGGGACCTCAGGCTGCACCCTTCACCCCCAGCTGGGGGACCTGAGACTGCACCCCACTGCCCAGCACAAGGCCAAAGGATCTGAGGCTGCACCTCCCCCGCCCAGCGGGGCTTGACAGGGGTGAGGCTGGCTGGGTCTGTGTCTCTGATTTCGAGTTGTGCATGGATGGGCAGGGACTTGACTTTGTATACCATGCTCCTCCCCCGCAAACAGGAGAAAGATTTTCATATAGATCTTACTAACGTTTTTGTTTTTTTTGGTTTTTTTTTTTTTTTACTGGAGCAATTTTTTATTTTTATTTATTTTTATTTTTTTTCCTCTTATATTTTTATTTATTTATTTATTTATTTATTTATTTATTTTTCTTTATCAATCTTTATTGTTCATATTATTACAAAGGTTCCTCATTTCTTCCCCCCTCCACCAGGTTCC